TTTCACAATCTATCGTTTTAATTGACATTCAGTAGGATATATGTATTTTTGAGATGAAAGAACACTTCTCATCAGTGTTTTCAACTTACTTCATTCTTCATTCACTACAGGATTCTAAATAACTAAATAAAAACAATAGCTTCCGTGTTTGCTTTCGACACTCACACATAGATGGCAAGAGATGTAATGGAAACAATATTCCTCTACTGAGGAAGCTACGGTCTACGGTGTTAGCGAAAAGCGCCTAGAAATAAAATATGTTTGTGACAATTGTTCCATTTGGATGAAATAACAACACAATCGAGACATCAGTTGACTTCAGCAGGAATATTCTGCTAAAAATCTGCAGGAGTCGCTATAACTGTAGAAGGTTTCGGTTATTTCCCATGAATACAAAAAGAAATAATACTTTTATCTTAACTTAGGCAAAAGTCAAATTGGAAACCTAGTTCGATTTCTAGCAATCGGTCACTGAGGAATGACGTGGTTGTGTTGAGGAATGAGATTCCAGAACAGTATGGGACTTTCAGGAAAGGACCTTATATCATTAGTAATAACAATGTGGAACATGTGTGTTTCAGGAGAAACAGTGATAGAGAAAGTGCTACAGAGTTGTAATTAGTTATAATTGTATTATAAATATATTTTTCTATGACTATCGAAAAAAATGTTAATTATATGATCGTCTCTTGTTAGGTAAGGTACGTCAGCAGCAGCCTGCACTGGTCAACTAAAGAGATTGCTCCTCCACAAGCCTGTCCAAAAATTGAACGAATTGAGCGTTGAAGTTATGCCTTACCCACCATACTTTCCAGACCTCTCACCAACCGACTACCATCTTTTCAAGTATTTCGATAACTTTCTTACTGGTAGAAGCTTCGCCAATCAGTTCCAGACAAAAACGGGCTTCGTCGACTTCATCGAATCCCGAGCATGCAATTTTCATACTGACGGATTTAATCGACTTGTATTACTCTCAAGGAAAATGGAAAAATTTTATGAAATATTAAATTTAATAACTTGACGAAAATTCTTTCGAAATTACTCTAGTGAAAGTATTGTTGACAGAAATAATTAATTTTTTGATAGATAATGTTAGATCGAAAGTAAAGCCTTCGTTTAAATCCACCCTTTAATAAATAAAACTAACTCTGGTGTCACCAACGAATGAGTGGATAAATTGTGGGAACAATTGTAAAGTAAGTCAGTTTTATTTGAACAATCTATCATTCTGAGTTTTTGATAATATGGGGTACAGAATAACCCATAGGAAATACATATACACTGTGTCCAAGATAAGAATGAACAACATGGGGATATCGGAAACGGTAAGTGATACGGGGTCGATTGAATTAGAGAAAATAAGTGCATTTATGTGCCTAATAACATGCCATTTAGGGTCACTTTTCAAGAACTATACGATAACGTAGGCAGAAATATTCTGCGACCTTTCGTCTTTTAGAAAATATCAACTTTGTATTTTCATATAGGCCGAAACTAAAGTATATCTTGTATACGACTCCATTTTTCATTGTGAATACAGCAACGTATCACACAATATGATTTCATAACCATTTCTCGCGCAAAATGAAAAGTGATTACTNAGTGAGTACGCGCTGGAAAAAAATGTCATATTTTGATACGTGAAGTAATTTGATTAGCCTTAGTTATAATAAATTTCAACTTAACCACTTGCCGGAATTTTTGCGTACGCTTGATTCTTGATATATCTCCAAAGGAAAAAGTCTATTGGGGATAGGTCGGGAGACCTGCCTAGTCCAGGTCCTCCTGAATCAAGTCACCACTATTTGCAAACAACACTTATCACGAACAAGAAATGAAAATAAACAGAAAGATCATTCGTTACTACTTTTGTAATTGCAAACTAATTGGTGTGACAAGGTATATATAAAAAGACCTTCACTTTAAATTCTTTACTGCTATCTTCGACAATGATGATTCTCCAATATTATATTCGCTCTTTCTCAATTCCAGAGACACCTGATTCATCCCATTCATCCTTCATGATGACCGGAACATTTGCCTAAGAAACTTCAAAAATATTCTGTCACGCTCTGACATTAAAAGCTTGTTCATAGGCTTTTGCATTGACTTGCTTCAAAATGGTTGTTAGGGTACTTCCAGGTCCAATTTCGAAAGTTCTTGGAAAGTACGCACCCTGGTCCCTCTCATAAATGGCGTGGAGAATTTGCTCCCATTTCACCGGGTAGACTATCTGGAATATTATATTTTCATGTTAACGTAAAACATGTACTCTGGCTGAAGGACTTCAGTACATGGGTTTTTACTATAAATGTCTTCTATTATTTATTCATTTGATTATGGCATTGTTTATTTTTATTACAAAATAATTACCAAATTTACACATATGTATTGTAACAATAATCTACAACTATCAGCTAGATGTAAGGATAATATATATAAAAAAAAGCAAAAATACGCCAATCAATTAAAATCTTTTCAGTCTTTTTAAATGATTCCAAAGAAGAATTAAATACATTGTACATGTTGATAAAAGAGTACTTTGAAGATTCCTCTATTTCTTTTTCTCTTTTGATTAAATTTTAAAGTTATTACATCAAAATGTTACAGGAAATTAATGCTATCATTTTTTATTTTGTGTATTAAAGATATGATTCTGATCTTCTATGAACCAAGACTATTCAAGTTAAAAATGTCCAATATAATTTTGTTCTGAACAGTTTTAAGCATATCAATATCCACATTATACGAGGGTCAACAAATTGTGGAGTTGTATTTGATTATTGATCTAAAAATTGAACAATATATGATTTTCAGGGATGGGGTTTGAGAGACATTTTTTGGTCAAGAGTGATTCGTAAATTTATGACAATCGTCTACATTCAATTGCAATAAGTTTATATCACACACATTATTTCCGTAACAATAAAAAATATGTTGAAATATCTAGGTTTTCTTAAAAACCAACCTAAACATTGTGAATGACCTATATGATGTGACTTTTTCAAGTGAGAAGCTAATATATCCTGCTAAGGAGATTCCAAATCATATAAGGGAGAAATTTAGAACAAGTTTTTCTTCAAAATGGTTTCGACTTTTGCAGCTGAGGTTTTCAGTGTCACTGTTTTTCAAGTTTGAAAGCCGTGGATTTTTGGAATTTCTTCCTGACGTTTCGCTGGCGCGAGTGGCTAGCTTCTTCAGAGGTTTAACCATCATGGCTTGCTGTCCAATGACTAACTTTTAGGCTTCGTAAAGCATATTTATGCCTTGTCAGGTAATCAGTTGTATTGGTAACTGTATTTGTACCTGTACTTGAACCTGGAACATTAACAATCTTGCTGCCTGTTGTCATTCTGTTCGTTATTCTCGAATTCCTTGAAATGGGGAATTTCAACAGAAAAGAAGCGGGGAACCTCAATCGAATATGGAACCCCATTATAAGGAATTCGAGAATAATGAACAGAATGACAACAGGGAGCAAGATTTTTAATGTTCCAGGTTCAAGCACAGGTACAAGGGCAGGTACAAGTGCAGGTACAAGTACAGGTACCAATACAACGGATTACCTGACAAGGCATTAATAAGCTTTACGAAGCCTAAAAGTTAGTCATTGGACAGCAAGCCATGATGGTTAAACCTCTGAAGAAGCTAGCCACTTGCGCCAGCGAAACGTCAGGAAGAAATTCCAAAAATCCACGGCTTTAAAACTCGAAAAACAGTGACACTGAGTTTTTCTTCGATCACAAATATAAGACGCCTTGTGAGTAAAAACTACCTGTAGTCATTTTCAACAGTTCTTGTAGATTGAGAAGCATTACGTGTAATTTTTGGTAATAACGATAATAATAAATGCTTTTATTGGAAGGTTACTCAGTACAAGAGATACTAATCTAACCTAACAAATGGCAGAATTCAACGTCTGCACATGATAAATCAAGGCAGAAATTGCTATTCCATCCAAGCGAATTATAATACTTTATTCGAAAGAAAAAGTGAATGTCAAGAGAAGAAAAAAAAAATGGAAAATGTACATTGTATGAACCCGAAAATTGAAAAACATGCATAATTTCAAACTACATTCATTCGATGCTTAAATTGTTTTCCATTAGTTGTCACACATGAGTATGAGTTATTTTCAAAATGCCTGACAGTTTGGAGCATTTCTAGAGTTACTTGACATTTTTTTGTCCACAAGAGGGCGCAAAAATAAAATTCACACAGTGAACAGTCACATTGATTGATTTCTGAAAAAACTTTTTTTTTTAATGATGTGTCAAACTTAGTACTTTCTTGATTCAAAATCTGAGGGCGATGATCATCAATGAGTTATGACAGTTGAGGTTATGATAGGAAGTTGTTCCCCTCGAATTAAAAATCGATTTTTTTGCATTTGTTTCTCCAACAAATGTGTCTTAAAGACATTCAATCTGTTTCATTTTCGGTGCGCACACTGTGTATCGATATAAATATGATGAAATTGTCTCACCTGTTTGGGAAGATTTTTTCTAATATCATAACCATGTTTGTACTTCTTCCCAGTTACATTAGAATAGACACTGATGGCAGGATCCTCAATTCTTGTTTTCTCCAGCGATTTTTGAAATGTTTCCATTGCTGGTAACATCAGTGGGGGAAAACCCCCCATG